TCTCTCTCTCTCTTTCCTTTTCTTTCTCTCTTTCATTCATTTTCTTTTGCTCCTTCCTTCCCTTGTTTTTCTTTCTCCTTTTTTCCTTCTCTTCCTTTTCCTCCTTTTTCCCCCTTTCTCTTTCTCCCTTCTTTCTTTTCTTTCTTTCTTCTTTCCCTCTTTCATTTTCTTTTGCTCCTTCCTTCCCTTGTTTTTCTTTCTCCTTTTTTCCTTCTCTTCCTTTTCCTCCTTTTTCCCCCTTTCTCTTTCTTTCTCCCTTCTTTCTTTTCTTTCTTTCTTCTTTCCCTCTTTCATTTTCTTTTGCTCCTTCCTTCCCTTGTTTTTCTTTCTCCTTTTTTCCTTCTCTTCCTTTTCCTCCTTTTTCCCCCTTTCTCTTTCTTTCTCCCTTCTTTCTTTTCTTTCTTTCTTCTTTCCCTCTTTCATTTTCTTTCGCTCCCTCCTTCCCTTGTTTTCCTTTCTCCTTTTTTCCTTCTCCTTTTCCTCCTTTCCTTCCCCTTTCTCTTTCTTTCTCCCTTTTTTTCTTTTTCTCTGTCTCCCTTTTCCCCAGGCACCTCGGGGGACCGGGAGCGACGGGCTCTCGGAGGCACAGTCTGCTTCTGCAGAAAGGAGGAGAGAAAAAGAGCCCAGCTCCTCCTCCCTTAAGACAATTGTTAATGTTTGGACTGTGACCTGCAGGAGGAGGGAAAGTCGCTAGGAAGGGTCTTAATGGGGGGGGGGGGGAGGTTTGTTCTCGGAGCTTGTGGGAGCTTCTGAACATTTCATTACCAAGCTAGGATGGATGTCAGCGTCCCTGTTCCTCTGTTTACAAGATTCTTAATCCCCAGAGTGCCAGAGGGCTCCCAAGTTCCTCTCTAGCTTCTGAGCAATAAAAGTGTATTCTTCCTCTGTCCCAGTGCATACAGTATTCGCTGGCTGGGGAATTCTGGGAGTTGAAGTCCGGACATCTTCAAGTTGACAAGGTTGAGAAACACTGGCTTAATGACTGTTCAAAGTTACAACGGCACTGAAAAAAGTTGCTTATGCTCTGTCCTCACACTTGTGACTGTTACGACAGCATCCCCGTGGACCAGTCATAACTCTTTGGGTGGGCTGGGAACTGGCAGGGAGGTAGGACAGTTGAAGCATCCTGCAGTCACGTGACCTTCCCAGCCGGCTTATGACAAGCAACGTCAACGGGGGAAGCCAGATTTGCTTAACGACCACTGGTTCACTTAACAACTGGACTCATTCACTTATCATGGCAAGAAGGCTCATAAGATCAGGCGTGGTTCACTTTTCAGGCCACTTTTCTTAGTGATGTGACTTCTGATCCCAGTTGTAAGTGGAGGACTATTTTAGCGTGTTTTCTGAGCCAGGGCAGCCGCAGAGAGTTTCACCCGTGGCTGGGCTGGCTGACGGACGGACTGGGCCTTATATTCCGATGGGGGCCCCTTGCAGAAGCGTGTTCCTTTGGAGAAAGTCATGGGATTTGTGGCACGTCAAAACCGCGGTCCACTAAAGCGCGCCCGATTAAAGCGCGTACGTGACATCATCAGCAGCGCGACAAGAAAGAAAAGGGGCGCTTTAAAAAGCGCTTTTAAAGCAAGCCGATTCACATAAAGGTAAGGGTTAGGGTTAGGGTTAGGTTTAGGTTTACGTTAAGCGTTAGGGTTAGGGTTAGGTTAAGGGTTAGGTTTAGGGTTAGGTTTGGGGGGCTTAGGTTTAGATTTACGC